CACACACACACACACACACACACACAATTACACACAAAGTCTTACAAACTCCAAACCTGAAGAGAAAAATCTCTTAGGTCTGGAATCAAAGATTCCAAAATGTAGGAATTGTCTCAAGCCTCAAGAGCTTGAGAAACTACTCCATGGACACTACTTTTGCTGTCATTCCCTCTCCTCACCCAAGCCATGTGAGTATACCAGGAGGCTCAAGTTTAATCTCCCCTCCAGATACTAGATATACATGTGCATAAAGAAAGAACTGGAACTAACTCAGGCATGTAGCTGAGATCTCAGAAGGACAATATTGGCCGTGAAAGGTGGAAATAAGAACAACCACCAAAGCCCTTGTCCACTGGCTCAAGAAAGCAGCAAAGAAATTCACAGAAATTGCTTTGGGTTAGGGAAAAGAGAAGAGATTCTGATGTTTAGATCTGATAGAAATTACAACCAATACCTGGAAAAGAATGTCTAAGGATGAGAACCATAGAAGAGAATGATTATTAAAGATAATATACAAGTTCGATCCCTGGTACTAAAAAAAAAAAAAAGATAATATACAATATTGCACCATGTGCATAGATAGATGACAAACATCATGCTAAGAGAAAACATGCTAAACATCACACTAAGAGAAAGAGGAGAAAATAATCAATAGGACAACATAAAAAGAATAAATATGCTTAGCATAATGAAAGGAATAAATATAAAGCATAATGAAAAAGCATAGCAGCTTGAAAAGAAAAGACTATATGAAGCAATAACCTTTCAGAAATTAGAATTACAGTGATTGAAATTATCAGTTTAAGCAAGTATAACTCAAGCCATAATCAACATTAGAAAATTAAGTCCAATTACGCCTTTGATTATTGCAGCTTTTATGATTGTTTGGTATCTTCTTTAATGGCATCTATAATTATTATTTACATCACTTCAAAATTATCCCTTATCATATCTTTTTTATCTGAGCATGCTTTCTTATCAACCTGTCATCCTTTCATCTTTTCTAATTTATCTGGATCAATTTCTCCTCCTATGTCATGGAAACTATCCTTCTGGATACTACCAAACTCAAAATAGACTTCTATAACAACTTCCAGGTAATTGTAATTTTAGTTATTAAAATTAGTATGAAATATCAAGGCTATAATCTCTTTCAGTACTTCTACAAGTTTTTGTCCTCCTTTTGAAATCTAGATTTGAAAATTCCTGGAGGAATTTGAGAGGCATTTTTAGGCTTGGCTGAATGTCCACCCAATATTTGCATATTGGTAGACATTTGAATCTTTTCCTCAGGTTTGAAGAAAAGATTCATGTGCAAGTTCAGTCTCTAGCCATCTTATTTAGTACAATTTCTGGGGACTAAGAAGTGACCTCCTTGTGCTAACTGGATTTCCAAGGCTTTGAATAGAGTAAGTGAACAAAAATATGTCACTCCAGCACGTTACTCAGCACTCTCAGAGCCTTTATTGTCTCAGCCTTTATCTCTACACTGGTGGGAATTTCATTCCTGACAATCCAATACGTTGCCTTTATTTTATTCTATTTTATTTCTTTCTTTTTAAAATTTTTATTACATGTTTGCAGTAAATAAATTCATCATAGGAAATCGGTACATAACACATCTCAATTCCTTTTTCATTCTCTTCCTCCCTCCCCTCACTCCCTGGTCACCTTCCCCCTTGCAAAAGTTCCATCTCCCTATTTTCTATTATCTTTTATTTTGCTCTTCAATTTATATATTTTTATATATATATATATATATATATATGTATATATCTTGGGTTTCTCATGTAAGAGAAAGTATGTGATATCTAAGTTCATATGCCTGATTTATTGTACTTAACATTATGGTCCCAAGGTGCATCCATTTTCCTACAAATGATTCAATGACTTTATGTTCTCTTTGTGTTATAGTTTATACCTGGATATCCCTGCAAAACATCATGCACTTGGAATCAGGGATAGCAAAAGGCAGTTGATTAAAAGGGCACTACCCTTGGCTTGGTGTTGGTAGGTGGAGTCTGGCTGGCAGAGGCAGGTCAGTGGGGCATGATTGAAAGGGTTCATCTCCCTCATTGGCTCCCCCTTCCTCTCACTCGGTTTACCAGTCACAAAGCCATGAGTAGCTCTCCTCCACCTAGGATCTTCCACCATGGTTGCCTGCCTTGGAGCTGGCCAACTATGGACGAAAAGCATGAGCCAAAATAGACTGCTTCACTATGACATTGTGGGTATCAGGTATTGTGTCTCAATGATGAAGAAAGTTACTAAGACACCTTGGTATATAAAAATCATGGGATCAGACAATAGGAGAAAGGAATTTTTTTTCTACTATCTGTTAGGCCAATGGAGCCATTTTGTTTTCCAATATAAAGTACCTGTTAGTCACAAATTATTTCATTAATTTTCTTTGCTATTCACCCTATGCATAGTAGAAATATTCACTAAATTCTGACAATGGATTACCATTCTCAATTTTTGGGCTAAATTCTTATCTTTTTAAAAATATATATACAAATAAGTATTTATTTGGGGAGATAGTAAGTCTTAATCTATTAGACTACTACATTTTAATTTGGAAGCTCCAGAATATATCTGGTTATAAGTGATGTACAGAAACATGTATTAACTAAATAGCCACTTGAGATATAGATAGTTGATAGATAGATTTAGATATAGATATATAGACATATATATGTAAATATAATATGTAGATAGGGTTTTGGCAGCAAAAGCATCTAACTCTATGATGCGGTATTTCTATTCTCTCTCACTTATCTCACACTAGAGAAGGCTTTATTGCTTCTCCTATCCACAACTCAACATTCTACTGTTATCAGTTTCCTAAACTGTGAACACAATAGGAAAGAACAAAATCCAGTTCTTAAAGTCTAGCTTTGCAGCTTCAAACCGAGAAGATGATGACTACAGAGAAGTCATGATTAAAAACTGAAGTATACAAGTCCGGGTCAAGATTGCACCATTCATTAGCTAAGGTACTTGTACAAGTTCTTAATGTCATTGAGTTTGTCTCTTCACTGATAAAATGAGATTAGATGAGATAATCTACATAATTAACCTAGCACATAGTAATTCTCAACTAATACAGTAGTGGTTATTCAATTAAGTGTTTGAGGTTGTTTCTCCTTTTTCTGATTTTTCAAAGAAAAAACTTCCTTGTCAGAACTAACAAATAGAAAATTCCCTTCCATCTTTTCTATTAGAAAACCAATATGTAATAAAAGAAAGGATAGGAATTAAGATTATGATAGCTATTTTCCATATATTCTTTGTTGTTAGCATTACTTTTCTGAATTTATATTCTGACCAATACATATATTTGACTTACTGGTGGATATTGTGTTTAATTATAAAAATTGAGAAAAGTAATCCATTTATAGGATAAATATGGTTCCAAACATGTTTTTTAAAAGATCAGGTTAGGGCTGGGGATTTAGCTCAGTGACACCACGCCTGCATCACAAGCACAAGGCCCTGAGTTCAATCCCTCCCCAAAAAACAACAACAACAAAAAAAAGAAAGTAAAAGATCAGGTTAGTCCTTTACTTACATTAACAAACTTAACTTTTAAATACAAAAATTAAAGCCATGATGCCACATTTTTGTTGGTATACGCTTGCAATACATAATAATTACATTTACCTTGGGGAATTAGTACTTATACACATCGGATCATTTTTACTACACCTTCCTTCCCCTTCTCCTGGGGGAGCCCTGTTCCATCTTCCAGACCCTCTTCCCATTTCCACAAAGCCTGCCTCCCTGTTTCTTACCATTTCCTTTTATTTTTCTCATTATTTTATTTATATTTTGGGTTTCTTATATAAGAAAAACAATGCAATATTTATCCTTCTATGATTTATTTCTCTTAGCATTCTGGTTTCAAGCATTATGATCTCTTAGCATTAAGGTCCATCCATTTTCCCACAGATAACTCAAATTTATCCTGCTCTATGGCTGAGATACATCATGTTTTTAATCCACCATATGTTCTTGAAAGGAAGAATTAATTTTACCTGTTTTATATTAACCTGACTGCATAGCACACATTTGTGTTCATTGGGCCTAAAATTACTTACTTTCGTAGATCAATAATCTAAGTTTAAAATAGTTTGTAATATTTAAAAACTAATATTTAAATTCAAGACATTTTATTATAATTTTTAATCATTTCAGTTTCTTTGTTTATAATTAATTCACTTAGCAACAGTAAGTGTTTACTTACCGGTTGAAACATAAAGGTGTGTTCCTGTTTGTTGTGGCACTACCTGTTCTTTGATGATCTTTCTCAGGCCCAGGACTCTTTTTGTCAGGTTGTGGAGGACAAGGTAGGAATACTGTGACTGGCTTCTGAAAAGGATGAGTTGATGGGTGCTGAACATGAATCAGAGGACTTGTGGACAGTACTGCTGAGTAGGAAGTATCTTGCTGTGCTTTTAAATATGCCACCAGAGATGGGTCAACTGGTTGAATCTAAACAAAGAACATATATTCCTATATTTAATGGCAAATATGCAAAGTATCAGCATATTCCTAAGCCAATCTTCTGAAAAATTTTCAGAACACAGTCATATGTTGCTCTATACATTGCTGGCTAGAAACACGACTTTATATGAGATGTCATCAAAAAATACATGTGTTTAAATTTAAATAATGTATTATAGTAAAAGACACATTACTATTGATCCCCCTAAAGATATTCTGTCTCACTTCGAACACACTTATCCCATTGTATAGTGCTTGTCACTTTCAGAAGCAGTTCTGGAAGTCTTCTTGCATACATGCCTTTAGCTGTACTATCATGGCTGCCTAACTGTCCTGAATCAATTAAAAAAATTTACCTTCTATGGTCTTTTTGACTTAGAGAAAGAGCTATAAGTCACATGGTGTCGGATCCAGTGATTAAGATGGATGAAGACTTCATTGGGTTTATGTCTTTATTGAGCCTGACTTTCTGTTGAATGGTACTTGACATCATTTACTATATTTTTTATTTTACCTCATATAAAAGAGGACCTACAGAACTGCTTCAAAAAGTAGCAAGAATGATTGGATAAGTATGTTTAGAGTAAAGGTGAATATTTTGAAAAGGACTAACAGCAATGTGTCTTTTACTGTAATAACACTGTTTTATTTAAAAGTACACCATATTTTTGATCAATCCTTGCATACAAGAATACCATTTGAATTCCTTCTTACAGAATCTTTTGGAAACCCAAGTTCCCTTTCCTATATTATAAATAACTGTGAAACACTCTAAATTTTAGACAACAAAACAACCTAGGAAATAAAAGAGACATTTTATATAATTTCAAATTAGTACTATTTTTAGATCAAGTCATCTTTAGACATTAGAAAAACAAGACTATATTTACTTAAGTATTTTCTCTCACACAAGAATAGTTAATATTTTTAAGTAGCTAACAAAATTTCAAAGTTTATGGAAAATATTTACCAGTAAAATATTCATAATGTGTTTTCTTTCTAATCTTCTCTAAGGGAATATTGAGGAAATAAAATATACATTAATACACCATTATATACTTTGTAAATAGTGCTTGTGTATATTAAATCCTTATTTCAAAATAGCTAATGTAAATATAACTAAATATCCATAATAACAAATATTTTAATTGATTAGCTTTTTTGTGCCATCCTCAAAGATGGAAATCATGAGCTACATGATTTGCTAAAGTCTGACATCAATTGTTTCATAGTCACTCAAAATATGCATGTGTCAATAAGTATCATAAAAACAGCATAAATGACTAGCTGGGAGAATCTTTCAAATAAAGCAGGGATTTATTTTGGAATGAGATTCAATGTACTCAAAACTATCACTCCATCATTTATATCAGTATATGTTAGTCCTTTACAAGTGAAAAAGAAGAATCTATTGCATGAAATATTTGCTTCCTCTTCATCCTTTGAGACTATGTATAATGACTTAAATCTAAGAGAAGAACCCATTCAATGTTTAATATTTACCTTTAACTGTACAAGCACTGGCGAGCTGAAAACCCCTGGAGGGTAAGATAAGGATATTCGGGAATCTATGCTGGACTTCAGGGTGAGGCCTTTCTTTGTTACTGTGAAAGACTCTTTCTTTAAGCAAGACATGACAGAAAAGATACCCAGTTTGTAAACTTTCACTGCTGCGCAGGATACCTGTAAGGGTTAAAGGACAGTAAAGCAAGTTAAAGCAATACTTTGGGGAGTGCATGCTATATATACTCTATAAACTATAAAAACCCCACATGCTGTCAATATAATCACCCACAATTTGGAATGAGTCCGTTAACTGAAAATGCATGATCCTTTCATGAAATATAGAAGAAGTAGATTACTAAGAGGTCCTCAAACTTAGACCGCCTGATAGAAAAAAAGAGAAATAAATGTATTTTAAATTAAAATTAAATTCCACAAATGTATGGGTAGAATGGGAAACTGTATTCAGTGTTTCACAAATATTAATTATGGACTCCTAGCCTGCTTTAACTAGAGTGGATTTTTAAAATAGATCTTTATCCAGAACATTCAAAAGTATTTTAGAGAATTAGTTATTTGGATAGTTTATTCAAATGGCATAGCACCTGTACTGTCAGCAAATTCTTCCTTCTAATAGCTCACAATCTTTTAGGATGCCAAAATAAAGTCTATTTCTCTCTGTGCAGTGGGAACAGATGACTGCAGAGAGACGCATTTGTGTTTCTTTTTTATATGGAGATATTCAAATATGTAATCTTATATGCAGGCACATATTCAAGCTTTTTTAATCACACAGAAGATAACTGAGTACATAAATGAAAACAAAATGATCTACTGGTATAATCACCAAAGCTTAAAATCAGGAGGCAGACTTAGAGTAATTTGGTCTATTCATGCTACCTCAACACCAGCCGGACTCCACCCCAGCATGAGTGGATAATCATGCAGACATACGCACAAACATTCAGGGACAATCACAATGGAAAATAATCTTGCATTTGAAAGCTGACTAAGGAAGAGATTTCACAATATCAAGGCACAAATTTGTCTCTGGGAAAATTCAGAGCCTGATGAATGTTCTTAACTGGCCAGAGGGAAAATGGTGAGAATTGAGAAAGGACAGCTTCCTGGGAACCAGTGTGTTTGCAGAACACGGAAAGCACATGTCGCAGATATTGGGGAACCAAAAGTGTGTTTTTAAGAATTAGATTTTTTAAATGTCATAGGCTCACACAAAGATTTGGAGGGAATCCAGAACTTAAATGTTCTTCACCTAAAATTAGGGGTAACTACCATAATATTATTATAAAGAGAAAAGTACATACTATTATTTTTTACAGTAGCCAATAAATCTTTTAATTTTTCCTTTTGATTTGATTATCCATTTACTAAACAGTTTTCAAATCCATTTTGTGAAAAACATGTGTGCTGTGCGCAGCTTTTACTCTTATTGTAGTAGTCACACAGGCTATGCAAGATTAAAAAGACTCATCGCGAGCAATGCTGATCAGATTTTATATTTCCAGGCTTCCTGGACAAAATGTGAAATGGACTACTTGCATGAATTAGAAGGAATTATTAGAATAGGCTCAGCTTTCTTTTTCAATTGTATGAAATTTGGTTTGTAATATGGAAAGTGCAAAATCAGAAAAGGAAGGGATTCATTATAAAGAATTCTTTTACATTTATTTTCTGGCCTCATCAAATAAGAAAAACCTACTTGTAGCTGAAAAATTAATTGGTTAAAATTAATTTCAGAACCTTAAATATTAGTTCACATCAATTCTGTAGTACTAAAAGTGTGACCATAGAAAGCCTCAGAGTTATGACAATAAAGTCTAACATAAAAAATAATTTACTATAACTACTATGTTTATGGGCTTCCTTATCTTCTTAAGCATGTTATCTATTTAATTCTTACAACCTTATCAAGTAGACAGTTGTGTTCATTTTTTAGATGAAGAAAGTGAGTTACAGCAAAGTTTATTCATCTACCCAACTTCACACTGCAAAACATGTAGTTACCAGACTTTAAACTCTACCAATCTTTCTCCACTGCCCACATCCTGACCACCACATATACTATCTTCTGTGTACAGACTGAATTCTATTTATAGACCTATAATTCTATCAAAGCATGCACACAAACACATAATTTTTATTTTTAAATATTTTTCAATCTATAGATAATAAAAATAAGCCTACTATCACTTGGACATTCTAACATTCTAAATTTAGGGATCCTCCACACTAGATATATTATTCCACAATTAACTAAAAGCATGAAGTTAATTAAGCCATGATATTGGCTTTGTTTTTCAGGTGAAAAATTAAAATTTTCTGGGTCCTGGACCCAAGTTCTCCATTCCCAACTTTAGGAAATAAATTTTACTCTTTGATCTGCATAAATGGCAAAAAACCACAAAGGTGCTGACACAAATCTACAGCCTTTCCTTTCTTACCAATGGAGTAATTATATCTACAATGTAGTAATCAAATATTCAGAAAAGAGCTAAACAGCAAATGCAGATGTAGCCAAGGACTTACAGACCTTATAACCTCTCATTCCTTCCAGTGAAGTTGGGGATAGGTAACTCGATTGAAGGTTTATGTCAGACACTTTCACCATGATGTCTCTGTAATTTCCCCTGGAGCGGGCAGTAAATGGAATCGCAATGCATATTGGAAATGGAATTCTCTTTTCCTTATCTGAGCATTCAACAGAGACAACATTGCTGACCAATTCTTCATTATCAGTCACAATTAAAGAACTCATGCTATTAATTATCTGGCATTCTAGTTGCTGCAAAACATATGATGGTGCTGTAATGTAACAAGCCACTTGGGGATCTGTCCCATCACTCGGTACATCAAGATACCTGCAGGAAAAGGTGAGCAACATTTTACCAGTTATTTAGTTATCATATTTATGTACTCTATAGCTAAATGCAGAAGGGTACAAGTTCTAGAGCACCGTGTCTTGGTGTGCTCAGTTCCCTCACTTACTGACCCTGTAAGCATGGACAAGATACTCAACCTCTCTATGCCTCAGTTTCTTCAATTGTAATATAGTACTAAAATAATATCTACCTCAAGGGGAGCTGAGAATTAAGTGAACTATTGTGAACTAAGGAATTAGAAAGATCTGTGCCTGGAATATAGTAGGCATCGTGGTAGATATTAGCTATAATTATTGTTTACTATTATTATTATTATTTACACAATTGCCTCAGTATTGTTCACTCCACAATAAGAATTTGAAAATTGCTGATGTTTCTTAATAAACCAAGTACTGATACTTAAATAGTTTCTTAAATTGTGAGGAGAGAGAGAAATCATATATGAGGTACTGGGATTTTCTAAACACATTATGTCAAATGATGATGCTTTGTATTTTGTAGAAAAACTAAAAGTACAAAATACTGTGAATTTAAAATTATTGATACTAATTAGGAATACATTATTTCCAACCTCAACTAGTCATTCCAAAATCTTATTTTGACTATTTATTTTATTCATTTTAACCATCATCTTTGCTGAAGATTTTATAACATTAGTAGATATTTGACAAGAGAAATTTCTGATTTGTTTGGTAACATATTAATAATTATTTGAAAATAGCTAATTTTTTAAATTTTATTTTAATTCATTAAGTTTATTGGTACATTTTAGGTATACATTATGGTCACATTCATCATTGGAAATTCGTACCTATACATGGTATATCTTGAGTCTTGTTTTTTCCCCTTTCCCCTTCCCTCCCTTCCACCCCTCCCTATTTACAAAAAACTTTGTTTCCATTTTTTTCTTCTTTTCTCATATCTTTTTGCTTTCCCTTCTTTCCTTTCCCCTACTTTCCCCACCTCCCCTTCCCCTTTGGACCTTTTCTTCCTGAAAATGGCTAATATTTTAAAGCTTTGTGGACCTGGTTTGGGATTTATATTTCATTTAATCTTCACAACTATTGTGTCAGTAAGATATTACTGTTATCATAATCTTACAGTTAAGAAAACTGAAGCTTAGAAAATTTTAAGTTCAGAGCTGAAGGTATAATGCAGTGGTAGAGTCTCTACCTAATGTAGATTAGGAACTGGTTTCAATATCCAGCACTGCAAATAAGAAAAAAGAAAAGAAAAGAAAATTTAACTTGCTAAAAATCCAAAGATGGTAAATTTCATAATCAATAACTGGCTCCATCTGTCTTCTTTGTGTGTGTGTGTGTGTGTGTGTGTGTGTGTGTGTGTGTGTGTTTGTCTGTTTGGTTGATGGTTGGTTAGTTGGTTGGTTGGTTGATTTTGTGGTCATGGGCTGAAACCCAGCGCCTCTCACATTCTAGGCAAGCACTCTACCTCTGAGCTACATCCTCAGGCCTTTTTTAGAATTCTATTTTGAAATGGAATCTCACTAAATTGGGCAGGCTGGACTTGAATTTGTGATGCTCCTGCCTCAGCCTCCCTAGTAGCTGGGATTACAGGCATGTACCACATGCTAAGCCTTCTATCAATCTATCTTTAATGTAAAAAGCCCAACCTGTGAAGGGCTGGGGATTTAGCTCAGTGGTTCTGCCACCTGCCTCGCAAGCAGAAGATCCCGAGTTCTATCCCTGGTACCAAAAAAAAAAAAAAAAGCCCAACTGTCAAATATTATACTCCTTCATATAACTCCAAGGTACTGATTAACTCCATTATAAATGGAAACTAATTAATCCATACTCATATGAAGATGGACTGAAGAAGATAGGCTTCTTATAGTAATGTGTTATGTTGGGTGCTAAATAAATGTTAGGTTTCTATATTAAAAATATGAACTACAGTTTATCCTTTTCTTGCTACTTTTCATTTCATACCAGGGAAGTGACTGAAATATGGACAATGTTGAAGAGAAACAGAGAAGATCTATATTTCTCCACAGCATTGTTTTCAGTTATAAAATAATCCATTTTTAGCTATTTACCAAGCAGAATTTTAAAGTGCACTTTCACATAAAAATCTACAACAAAAATGTGGAAAGTACAGAGAGGGACCATTTATTTACATTAACAATAAAGACAGAATAGAAAATTACCAAGCACGTTGGTCTGCTGGCATATTCTCCAGTGACAGTGATAATGGGAACCAGAAAATGAGAAGCACAGTTCAGTAGAGGACACAGTGACCCAGCTTTTGTAACTTCAGGAGTGGCTCTCCTCTGTGTCCTGGAAGCCACCTAAAAATCGTCTTTATGAAGCTCTGGTTCCCAACTGACAAAGTAGAATGAGGAGACCAGCAAATAGTTCCATTCTCCCCAGCCCTGATCAAATATATCCAGTCTACTAAGTGATATAATTACATTTATTTTTTCCAATCTTTTCCCCTTTTGTGTAAAAATAGGACATATACACTAAAGGGGATGTGGTTTTTTAGAATGCAAACCATGGTGGAGCCACAACTGATTCTCAGTAAGGATTTGTTTATGACAAATATACTTTATGTGGCATGATGGCTTCCTGGCCTGGGTGATTTCAATGAACAATCATCTTCTTAAATATGCAAGCCAAGCACAATTGGCTTGGATGTCACAAAGAGGAAATCACTAGCCAGGGAACACCTGAAAGAGGTGTTAGAGGGAGTGGTTCAGGTAGTGACTCACTAGCTGATGTTTTGAGTCACTTCTGAAAGCGAGGATATAGTGTCAGTGTTTTACTCAAGTGAAATGGGCGACCACATGTTGACTAGTTTAGCACTTGTTTTACTAAGTGGAAGTCTTTCATATTCACATTCTCTGGCCTATAAAGACATCACAATGAAGCTAGCCCAAACTCTTCATTTTATAAACAAGGTCAATATGAGAAAAATGATTTGCTGAAGATCATAGAACGAGTGATATTGTCCTGAAAATGGTATCATGTGTCTATGTGAAAAAGAGCCTCATGGCAAAGAAGGAGGTAGTTGAAGAATGGTACTGAGTGGGAAGTGAGGGAAGTGATTATTGTTGGGGGTGAAATAAACTATCACATTAACATTTAGCAGAGCATGGATGCCCTCACAGTGGCACAGTGGTAGGCCCTTTCCATGATTTTCTCATTTGACCTTACCAATTACTCTAGGGAGAATATATTATTTCCACAAACAAGAAAATGAGGCTAACAAATGAAGTGAGTTTCCCAGGGTCACCAAGGTAGCATATAATAAAACAAAAAACAAAAACTGAATTTGTCTGGCTCCCAAAACAAATGATTCCCCCACCCCAGTTCCTCATTGTCTTTTAAGGGTATTACGTTTATCTAGGAAAATGTGGTTTGTTAATATTTTATATACTATATTATCTGAACAAATAGAGGATTATCACCCTTTCATAAAGGAGAAATAATTCATGAAATATGTCAGTCTTTCTCCCATTTTAAAAGTCTTAGTCTTTTAAAGAATCTGGTAAGAACTCTGGACAAGCAGATAAAATAGGTATGGACATATGTACTCAGCTTTAAGAATCTCTGGAAGCTTACCTATAAGCCCCTAAAATTCTAAAGATAAAGATTAGAAATTCATGATGATTTTCCTGAGAATATAAATAACATAAAAATTCTCTTAATTTTTTAATATTCTGTAATCTCAGTTTTTACTTATGTAATTCAGAAAGTAGTGATTTTGAAGTGTCCATGGTCTGAACAATTATTTTTAACTACTTTCTCATCTAATTCTTTCCTCCTTTAATATATTTGTTTCCTAAAACCATTAGTAATAGTAATCACAAATTTCAAAGGGTAATTTAACCTGAATTACTAATTTACAATATCGTTTGGAGATACGACATGGAAATATAAAATTTTATTTATGCACGAATACTATTTATTTTATTCATGTATACTGTGATAGTTGAATGCTTGTGTTCTCCCAAAATTCATATGTTGAAATTCTACCCCTCAAGTGATGATATTAGGAGGTGGGGCCTTTTCAGAGGTATTAGGGCATAAATGCAGATTCTTCTTTAATGGATAAGTGGCCTTATAAAATAGGACCGAGGGAGTTGATCACTTCTACCACCATGTGAGGACACAACAAACTATCATTTCTGACCTCAAAAAGCTTCACTAGACACAGAATCTACCAATGCCTTTATCTTGGTCTTCTCCCAGTTTGTGGTATTTCATTATAGCACCCTGAACAACTAAGATATCTACAAACACAGCAGCACCCTATAAGTAACCATATAAAAGTACTTCTCACACTGTATTTACTTACTCCTTTTCCATGATGTTTTTCTTTTGTTTTAGACTTTCTGAATCATTGAGATTATTCACATATTCATAGGAGATCTCACATGTTGAGGATGTGGTAATCTCTTCTCTTTGGTTCTCTGAGTTCTCTTTAATGTCTCTTTCTGTTGTCTGGATTATGCCATGAATCTGTTCCTTGTTGCTAGTTATGTTCTCAGCGGTCATGTGTTCTATTTGTTTACCATCTCCATTTTCTGCATTATCTGGGAACATTGTGTTCTGTGACTCTTCTTGCCCTGTTACATTTCTGGTCAATGATGTGTTGTTTTCTTTTTTTACCAGTACAGAATTTATATGTGTTTTATTTTTTTTTAACTGGACCTGGCTTGTGTAATGACTTTTCTCTCCATTTGTGCAAGAAACAGTAGCTGTTTCTATGACATTTAGTTCCCCTCCTGCAGCAATGCCTGTTGCTTTGGTGTCTTGAATGGTGTACATTGTCTGTTGTGGAGTATGTTCATCATGCATGCTGCATAAATTACACATCTCCTTTTCTTCTTTCTTTAGAAGCATAGCAGTGTTCCCCAAATGTTCATTCATTTTCATGAGGTATTCTATGAAAGTAATCATTTCTACATATACACATACACAAACAAAGAAAAAGAGCAAAACTGAACCAAATTATGCAATTACATCACCACATAATGAGGTATGGCAAGATAATTTTGAAAACCTACAAAATTTACTGGACACTTAAGCCAACCTCCTGAAGCAAAAACCATTTATACAATTGACACTTTTTAAATTTCTAGGAATTGGGAACAAACTACTTCTTAACATAATAGCAGAGAGTAAATCTGATCCCTATTGCTCTTGAAATGCTTTGTATTTTAAATATAAATATTATGATCCCTTCTCCCCAATAAAAACTGAAGTCTGCATCTCTATCAGTCATTCTTCATTTGATGTGATTTTAAGAATTGGTCCTTTACCTCTGGAGATACTGTAGTTTATCAATTATCCATTTAAAAATCAGGGCCTACAATTAGCTGAACACCCCAAAGAGGCCTGGGTAGGAGAAGTACTTCAGCTACCTTATTTCTGCTGATATAAATGCCATATTTGGGGGGAGGGGCATCGTGCTGCTCTGAGGATTAGACAAGCTTAACACTATTCCTCCTTCCAAGCTTGTGATCATTAGAAATCTTCAAATTAGTCTTTCAGAGAGTAGCTGTGATCATACCAATTCTGTGCCTGCCATCACTTATCAAGAACTGTAAGACCAAGCCAAGCCTGTGTCCTCCACCAGGATCTGATCTGGTGTGGTCTGTCACTCCATCCCCATTTCATACCATTCACCTACATGTGCATCCTTCTTCTCATGATTGAGCAGGGTCATATGACAACTTCTTGGAGGCTTAGCACCTCTGCAATCTTTAAAATTCAATTGGAAACTAAGGAATCTAAGATTCAGGGCCCCATGGCTCAGAATTTTTAGAATTGTCCCCAAATCATACTTTGAACAGTCTGAGCTTGTCTTTGGGCTACACTTCTGATAACTTGCTATTTGTCTTCTACCTAAGACTGCCTTTTTTTTTTTAATTCCTGTTTTCTGGTAGTTGAGTGCTTATCTTGACCTGTTGCATAGGGCCATGTTTGATTCTCTTCAGAGATTGGAGGTCTGGTTATGAGCTCCAGCTGATGCCTCCTGAGTCCTACTTCTTTTGGACCAATTTCTCTGAAAGCTCTTTGTCTTCTAGACAGCAATATCTTAATAGTGCCTACTTTGGATTCCAGATTGATGGGGCCTGCCCACCCACTTTGCACTATATTATTTAGAGTCGAATTTCATGATGCCAGTATATTCTTATCTGAAGAAACTATTGTTTTGCAAGATAATATTCATCAGATATTATGTTTTTCCTGCATTACTGTATTTTGCAACATAAGTGGGCCTATTCTGAAGAACTTGGCACCTCTTTGCTTTATGGGTGATCTAATTTTCTATCCCAGCCCATCCACTCTTCTTAGTACCATTGTAATTAATAGGTTCATGCTTAAATGACTCTAGAGATGGAATATTATTCTCCAATATTTTTAAAAAATTTGCTTATTCTGCCCCAGACTAGGCCTACATTTCCCTCCTCTAAGCCTTGGGTCCCACTAATAATTTCTCAAGACTCCCAAATTTCCATCTATATGATTCCAATTTCATTCTGTAAGCCTCACTTTAAATATAACATTTTTTCCAGCAAAATTTTGAATTCTCCATCCTAAATAAGAGATCCTGCCTGCTTCCAAAGTCAGAAAGAACATCATTAGTATATTTCTAATGGGACTGGCCTCAAAGCTGCTTGCATTACTGTGTGTATGTTTTACCTTACTTCCCCGATTGCACTGTTAGTCCCTGTAAACAGAGATGGGTCTGAAAACACATAGCACCTCTCGGATATTGCCTCAATCAATATTTCTTAGAGAAAGAATAAACCAAAAGCTACTTGCCTTGTCTCCAGATGCACTGATTCTCCTTGTCAAGCAGTATGTACAGCTGCTGGCAGGTAGAATGCAGGGTCCCTGCAGTGTGTTCCAGCAGCTGTTGAAGGGTACTGCAGAGCTCTTGACCCAGAAAGACCACTGTGGCTATCCAGCTGGCTCCAGCAGCCCCCTCACAGAGGTCCTCACCCAGGAGAGCCTGCTTTAGCATTTGGTTTTGTCTCCAAACCTGCTTCAGTATTTGGCCTAGTTTACCTGAGCCTATGTCTTCCGAATCCATTTTGCACCCCCAAAATAATGTGTTTCTTTCCTGCCAGCAAAGACTAAAGGTTTTGCAAACTCAAACTTGGCCGGGGTTATTTCTCCTAAAAGCTAGGAGATGATCCAAGTCAGCTAGCCAAGCACTTTCCTGCAATATAATAGTTTATTCAGCTTGTTGTTGACCAGTGAAAAGTTACTAGGTGACCAAAGGAAGGGCGTTCCTGAACCCTGCTTGCTATTGTGTACAGAGGATTAACCACAGGGATAGAGCTACCTCACAGAATCCACCTTCCCATGCAAACTCAGTATAATACTGATGTCCCAGATACTTTTCATATTTTGAGGCAACAAACTATGGATTCCAGATAGAATGAGAAATCTATTCAAAGGTAAACTGTGTTTATAATATTGGTAATAAAATTCCAGTATACATATTTTAAAATACCAATAAAATAATACAAAATTTGTTTTGCTTGAAAATAATCCTGGGGGGGGCAGGTATGGTGGTACACACCTGTAAACCCAGCACTTGAGAGGCTGAGGCAGGAGGATCACCATGCTTGGCAGGCCAGCCTGGGCTACATATTGAGTTCAAGGCCAGCTTAAACTGCATAGCAAGACCTTGTCTCAAATCATCATCATCATCATCATCATCATCATCATCATCATCATCATCCTGGGGGTCGGGCAGGGTACAGATAAAATTTGGCTATACAATTTTAAAATTGTTAGCCATACACAGTGATCCACGAATGCAATTAAAGCTACTCAAAAGGCTGAGCCAGGAGGATCACAGTTTTGAGACTACCTGAGCAACTTACCAAGAAAAATAAAAAGCACTAGAGATGTAGCTCAGAGGTAGAGCTTTTACTTTACACCTGTGAAGCACTGGGTTCAATACTCACTGTGAAAAACATTTGTTGAAGCTTGATATAATCACAATATGGAGTCTTTATATTTCACTCTAAGTAGTGTATATTTATAATTTTTAATAGTAAAGAATTAAAAGGAAAAAGATTCCTCTATTGGACCAGAGAGGTATTACTATTGCTATTGCTCAGTAAATATAATTTAATTAGTGTCTTATGTGGTAAGTCTGCAGTGAGGTTGTAATAGGAACCTGGCCTCTGTACTCTTTGATGCTTTCCCTTTAATTGGACAAAATGCTCCCTTACTAAAAGAAAACAAACTTGAAGAGGGCCTTGTCTGACCTAGCAAGAATTCTCTTTATTCTAATTAAAATTCAGATACAGCAAATTCTCACCACACGGCTGCCTGCTCAGTGGACCCACTATATGTGGGGCCATTGCAGTACATGACTTAATGGAAGGGAGACCAGGGGGTACAGCAGAGCAGCCTGCTTTCCCTTCTCCAATTCCCCTCCACTAAGGAAGGCGAATGCCCACCAAGGAATGGGGCCTTGCATTCCAAAGAGGCTCATGTTCCCACAGAGATGCTGGAAGGAAAGGAAAGCTCTCCAGAGGGGGCAGGAGTGCTTCCCTCCCCCAGGCAGTGCATTACCTCATCATAGGTACTGGCGTTATAGAGCTATGCTTATGACACCTGGAAGAGGAGATAGGAACAACAAGCACAATAAATAAAGAAGAAAAGTGAAATCACAGGCTTATAAACCATCCAAGCTGCCTCTGTTCCAAAGAATCCGATAGACAAGGATAAGAGCAATGTGGAGACAGTTGAGTCCAGAGTGTCATGGAGACTCATTTTCTACTAAAATTGATGCTTTTCAATGATTCACTGCAAAAATGAACCTTTTTAAAAATGAGTCCCTATAAAATCATAGATCACATTTTAAAAAATATTTTTAGATGCTTCTCAATATTAAAGACTTTTCTTTCCATTTTAGTTTGTTATTTTCTCTAACTCCTGAAACATACATGTAATTCTCAAAAAACAAATGTACAGATGGCTTTAATTCAATTTTGATTTTGAAAACTTTCTACAGTATTCACTGTGAGCCCAGCACTATTTAAATGCTGATTTAGGGCCTTTTAGGACTACAGAGACAGACAGACAGATGCATGAACACAATATTAAAATATCACTTGGACAGTTGCAAGCTAGAGGAGAAATAGGAACAAACTGTTTCATGAGAGCTTTAGGCATAAAAAATTAACTCTGAGTGGAGGCTCAGGAGATGTTAGATTAGAACCTAAAGGATGAGCAGGTTTAGTGCCAGCTAGAGAATTCAGGGAAGGAAGGGACATTCCAGCATAAGAAATAATATGATCATAGAAAGAGATGCATGAAATTATATAATGGGATCAAAAAAGGGAAAGTACAACTTTACAGGAAGGTTTCTTTCATAAGTCAGGAGAAATGGCAAGAGAAGAGTCCAGTAATTGTGCAGTCACAAAGAAGAGTTAGAATTTTGTTTTGCTGACAGGAGGGAAAAATAATATTTCTGAATTAAGTTACAGTATGGCTGGATCTGTGGGCAGGAATCCCAGGGCTTCGAGGTCAGAAACACAAGAGTCAGGAGGTGGGAGGGCCTGATGTTCCAACAGTGCAGGCAAGAGAAAGGGACAACTTGAGAGGGAGACTTGAAGTAGGTGGATAGAAATTTCTAAACCATTAAATCAAAAAGGATGAATAGAAAGCATTGAAAACTCAAGTTTTCATTTATTTCAGAAATCTGTATTGGCCACTAGTAACCATGCTTGGTAGTAGAATATAACTAAATTTTAGTTTCTGTAACTACATAGGTGGTGAACCTATTAAAGGATTTAGGAGAAACATTAGGTTTGGTGCACAGATAATGTGATTAATTTCAGATGTGTTGAGTCCAAGATAGCTCAGGACAATTCTGTAGAATGCGTTAGAAATTCAGAAGAAAAGTCAGAATAGTATTGGCATATTTGAACATCACCAGCAAAAAAGGTGAAAAATGGATCCCTGGAGGTAGAAGAGATTATAGGATTCATATATTAAATGTTGAATGAAACTGGTAATGAAATGCTGGGTCACTGAACCAATCTATACTAATTTCCTTATAGTTATGAGGGAAAAATCTTTTGTCATGGAGAAAAAGAAAAATATCCAAATCTTTTTTCCTTAGTTTCAATAACATTTGCTATTCTCAAGCCTAAACTTGTTCTCTGTCTAGCTTAAGAACATACAATATTTGCAAAATAAGACCTACCGCAGGCTTCACTGCAACTACATGTTAAAACAAGCATTTACATGTTCCTGTATCTTGTTTTCAATTAACTGACATCACTAACCACAAGTAGAACTGACATTTGCAGTTAAGAGGCCCAAAGAGGTTAACTGCAAAAGTTCATCTGGATGGTTTCAACATTGAGTCTTCATTATTGCTACTAGTTAGGGTAGCAACATTTTGTGCTCCCACTGACATTAAAGGTATTAGCACATAGTATTGAATTCATAAAGTATTATGTGGTTAAAAAGACAACAGTTCTTAATGTTAAAAGTATCAAAATAGATTAGATATAAAATTTAGTTTAAGATAGTCACTTGTTTATTACCTAAAAATATAAAACTCTGCAATAGACTGGACAATCTACTGATACTAAACAAGAGCAGATGGAAATAAAGTTTTGAAGTGTAAGTAAAATGTAGTATTTTTCTTGGAGTGTTTGGTGGATAGTATGGATAGATCAGACATAAGCAAAAGTTGTATCTGTATTATGCTTGAGGCCCTATGACTAAGAGTCAGTGTTATTCATTCTATTATCTGATTTTGTTATCTTCTTCTGCAGTTTGCTGCATCAAAGATTTTGGGGCAGAAAGCCCAAAACAATTTTGCCACATTTGAAAACTTTTATTGAACGTTTTGTCTTTTGTCTAAAGCAATTGCATACAACTAGGAGGGTGGAACAAAAAGAAAAAATTGTTTGTTTTGTTGTTTTTTTTTCCCTTATAACTTAGTGCACTGGAAAGATATAAATTAAGTGTAAGAAATGCTAATGTACTTATCAGTTTTAAAATGTTTTGAAAGAGCAAATGATAAAAATCAAAGCTAGCACTTCCAGTTAAAATGTAGATTGGATATATATTTTTTATCTTTGATTCCTCTTCCTCCTGAAATACCACTGAAAAAGACAAAACAGTATATAAACTCCAGAGGACAAAGACAGTCCTAAGGAAAGATAAGAGATGTCAACAAACTCCAGGAAGATTGAAAGCTGATGGACACTTGATAACTGTTTTGATAAACAAGGAGAGTTGAAATCTAAATTCATAAATTGTGGAAAATGGGCCAGGTCTTGCTTTGGAATCTTAGAAGGTCCCAGAACTAGGAACATTTAGCAATTCTAAGCATGAGAGTGAACTTGAGGCTGTAATTGACGTTTTCCTTGTGGCTCTGTTTTGGAAGCAGGTAGATTTCTATGCTCATAATGGTTTCCAACTGTTTATCTCCCACCCCGCTAAGCTTGTAATATTCTCCATAAAGAAACTGCAGCAGAAAGGCAGGTAGCCTGGAATGAACAGGGCAGGAGGGACATGAGGGGCTGACCCTAAGGGTTAAATGGAAATTTACAGTTTTGCATAATAAGGATCTATTCTGTTCTGCTCAGTTCAGAGAACAGGGGCTGATAAGCATAACCTCCTAGGCCTAAAACTGGCAATTTCCTCTCTGGAATAAACACTGAAAAAAAAAATCCAACTGCTTGTGAATCATTAGAATCTCTCCCCTCCTCCCAACTCCTCAGTCTGCCCTACCCTTGCAGATCATCCTTCCATGCACCTCCCAGTCATAAGCCCCATCTATGCATTAGAGCTTCCAAACAATGCTTCTAACGCCTCATTTTTAAGTAGAGTAACAGCCAAAGAGGTCAGCATTTGAAAAAGCCTCTAATATGGAGACAAAAGCAAACAAACTTGAATAAAGTACTTGAAAATAATAGAGCCAACACAGGGAAGAGAAGAAAATATCAAATGTCTACAATTAACGTTCTCAGAATCTAAGGTAAGACAAGAAAATGTACACAAAAGACAAAAACGATTTGCTTACAAAAAGCAGCTCAGCCAATGCTGAGAAAGAACTTTCAGAAATTAAATATTTTAACAGAAAATTTTAAACTAATGTATGGGTGGGAAGAAGCACTTGAGGAAATCTGCCAAAAGTCCTAATAAAAAGACAGAGATAGATCATAGAAAAAAGGGGAACTAAGTAAATAAAGGTTAAAT